AGAGATCACATGAATTAACTGCAAGGCGAAGACTGGGTGACCCATTTTATGGTGGAGCGGTTGAACTGAGGCGTGAAGGGGGGGTGGTGGGGGGGTGGTCTGTAGAGCTCCACTGCAGCAGCTCAGTGAGGGGTTTTCTCGTGTTGCGTTCACACAGTGGATTGTTTGAAGGAGGATCGTTTTTCCAGCTCAGAGACATTGCTGATGATTGTTTCAGAGACGGTTATTTTACGACTCTTTGTCTTCCTCTGAATCATTAACGATGCAAAGTTACTCAACCTGAGGGTGAGCGGAAGGTGAAGGTGCACTTTCAACTCACCGTCACCGTGCAGGAAGAGCTGCAGGAGCGAGCCAGTAACAAAACATTTAATACCAAACAATATGAAAATCAAAGTTTGAAATAAGAACCTCAGTCTGTGTTTGTTTCCAGTCATTAAGCTGCACAGTCACTCCTCTTCCTCTTCCTCCTCCTCCTCCTAAATGTAATCCTCATCACGGAAAACTAATTTAAAGAATATTTATGGTGACTTCAAGATGACATCTTAAAATGTTTTTGATTTCTTCAGTTTGCAAGGCGAGTTTATTTACACCGTATCTCTCAGACACCGGGAAGTTCAAAGAGTTCAAGAAATACACAATTTCCACACAATGCAGTCACAGTGACAGAGCTAAAACAGAAACAATCAAATCCCTGAACCCTATTCTTAAAAAAAATGACTCACACTGATTCACAGTTAACTGGAAGACTTAAAGAGCCCATATTCTGCCCTTTTTGGGGTTCTTATATTTAATCTATGTTCCTACTTTTGTACGTTCACAATAGATAAAGTTTTAAAAAAGTGTCTCATTTGTTTTCATGAACTGCTCCTCCTCGCTCCCTCTACGCTCTGAGTCCATCAGCTACACTCTGTTGAGCCCACACTGTTAGACCCCACGTGGGCCAAGTCTGCTCTGATTGGTCTGCCGATCCGCTCTGTCATTATTGGTCAGTTGCTCAACACTCGTCTCGGAAGTTTCAACATGAGCTGCAGGGCCACAACGAGCCAATGGGCTTAGATCAGTGACATCACACTGACAATGACGTCACACTGACACATTTTTATCAAGGGGGGCTAGTAAATCTAATGAGTGTGCTTCCTTCAGTC